GGTAGATTGAAATTTTAAAAGGAGACCACGATAAAATGAAATCATAACTTTTTCATTCCTTTTATATTTTAGCTACATTTGAATTACAAAGATAATGTAATTTTTCATGGATTTCATTGTAATGCACACAAAAACACTGATTGATGCCCAAATATGTCTGTCTGTAACATCAGTCTAACCATTGAAACAATTGGAATTAACTACGACAACACTGAGTATAAGATGTGTTCATATGAAACTTTTTTCCAGTGTTTTAAAAAGTCTTCTTTTAATTTGGATTGCTGAAAATCCTGAAACTAATTTTTATGCATTTTGTTTTCATATCATGGCATTGTTGTTTATGATTTAGTAAATATTTTTTATATTTTGTTTTCTTGCTTTCTTAATCAGAAAGTAAACTAGAATTATATTTTATTCTTACCTGGTCTTCCAACATTGCAGTATTGAATTTTTGTACCCCTTAACTATTTTGGGAAAAGATTGCTTGATTTTTGTAATTTATATTTCCTTGCCTCTGTTTTTCTATTCTGATACTGTCCTTGCTTTTGTTCTAGTTTAACATGGAGTAATTGGTCTGGTAGTTAATATAGTAATTAAGTAAGTAAAATTGTAAGGGATCAGAGAATGGGATGCATATCAGTAATTAAAATACAATGAAAGAGTGGTGGTACTGGAAAAGCCAAAGGCAAAAATGAACTGAGGCTTATGAAACAGAAGAATGATTTTAAGTTGTTTAGCTCAGTTCATAGTTGGGTAAATTATGGGGGAAAACACAGTTTAAGTTTGACAGTGTAATAGTAGCAAGTCACATAGAACAGTATAGTATGATGGCTATGTACCCTCTTCCTCCAGGAGCAGAGTTAACTGACAGTTGAGCTTTAGTTTGGGAAAGAAAAAAAAAATCAAGATAATTAAAGTAGAAAAGGGTGAGGAGATGTAAGTAGTACAACTGGATCAACTTTTCAGGCCTGAGCCCAAATAGTTTTCTTTGTACTGAAATTTAAAAACAAATGTGATCATTGAATATTTATTCAAGAAAACATGGAAAATAGGAAGAACTTAAATGGTATAAAGATTAATACTCCTAAAAGCTGAAAAACTTTCTGAATTTGATGGCATTATCTGTAGATTCCAGAATGTATGGCTTGTTACCTAAACTGGTGGTACTAGAAGAAGCTGGAGTCAGTGTAGATTGAGATTTCATGATGTGTTTATTAATTGTATGCCAGTATTTTTGTATTTAGGCTAGTGAAATGTTTGCTCCATGAAATTGGAGTTAGATTCTTGACTCAGAAAATAGTCAACTCTAAAGAATGTCAGCTGATTAACATCAGTCTGAAGGTATATATGCAGGTGGAAACAACCAGGAAAAACATTTAAAATCATCTTTTGGTGTATAAATGAACATTTGTAGAGATAAGGACTGGTGAAGATTTGTCTTATTACCTGCAGCAAAATGTTAGTAGTGTTTTGTGCTTGCCAAGGAAGTAAGTGGAAAGTTGAAGTAGACAGCCTCAATCCACATTCTCACCCACTGTCATGGAATATTGTGTGAGTTTTACACTTTACAAGGGACTTATACAAATTGGAGTGTGTCTATATGAGTGGGAGGATATAAAAACATGTATGGTTTAGAGGACACTTCCATGATAGAGCTTTCTGAGTATATGTGGAGCTGCTGCTCGAATGAAGTCAATGGATGAAATTTTAGTATTAGAGATTTTGAATCCATAAAATAAATTTGTAATATTTAAGAACTTCAGAGATACTAAAGCAAATTGTCTTGAAAGTGAGGCTATCTAGATGGAAAATAACATGCCCATTTCAGGAGTTACTGTATGGAAAGTTTTATACTGAACTTACACTTCTGAATTACTGCTGCTGTTTGATAAAGGCCATGTAGAAGTATAATATGTGATACAACAAAATACGTACAGTATAGTAAGGGAACACTCCTGTTTGCTGAATGAGTGCCTGTGAATTCAAAAATTTCAAGAGGATGAGAACATTTTTCAAATGTATTGTGTTTCTCTAATAGTTTTGTTACAATTATATCAACATGGTAGAATATTAAACTGATGGCTAATACTTAGGGGATGGAAAGTTTTGAACTGGGCTTAAGGGGAAAATCATAAGTTGGGTTCTTGCATGGTAAGATTGGAAAGCATTGAGTTTGAGTCATTCACTAAGTGACTTTACTTACATGACTCACAGGCATGGAGAGGTAAAATAAGAGACTTGTCTAAAATCACAAAGAGTTACAGTTAGAACTGGAATCAGACCTCTGAGGGAGTGTTGTAGCATACCAAAAATTGCCAATGATTTCCTTTCTAGAAAGGTAATGTTCCTTGCTAGACAGTTAGTGTTAATAAGGGTAGTAGTACTTAGCTGGTTAGACTCAAGATGAACTACATTGTAAATTCCTTGAGGATTGCTACTGTGTCATCTTTTCACTCCCAATCAGTACTATCATATACATAATTTGTGACCTGTTATTAATTTGGTGATATAGCTGAGAGACTGAAAACATCATAGCAGAAAACACTTACTGAATCTCCCATATTAGACAAAAATTTTTGAGAGCTGGAACCATAACTTGTTTAGCATCAATCCAGAATCTAGCCCATTTCTCTTCTTTTTACCCACCAATCTGTTCAGCCCACCAAATACTTTTCTTACTGTGTTCCAAAGACTATTATGGAAACTGGGGACAAAGTGAGTTACAGAAACCCATAGAACTTTTAGTTGTAAAAGGAATACACAAATGCTTACAAGTTAAGTGGTCATTGGATTGTATCAGTTAATGTATGTATATATGAACTTACTAGTTTTATATATTTATATTTTAAATGTCACTTGAATTTTTATCATTCATAATTCTTTTTATTTTTCTAAGTTTGGCAAATTTGTTTACCTGGAAGATCATGTCCCCCTGGCTTGATCTGTTATTAACATTATTGTGATTACTTATAATAATAAATTGTTAAATATTGAATTATTCTTGCAATCCTTGGTATAAATTCCTCTTTGTGTTAGTGGATCTTTCTCTTAAAAAGCTGGTGGATTCCATTTATTTTCCATATATATTTATAAATAAATTTAATCTATGTTCATTATAAGCCATTATTGCCAGGTCTTTATATTGCTGCTATATTAACTTCCTTACAAGAATTGGACAGTTTCTAAGGAAATTTAGCCGATAATACCCATAATGCTTGACCTGGACTAAAAGATGTTTGTGTAATTTTAATTGCATTTTTCTAATATCCTTTGGTTAAGCTAAAGACTAGTTTAATACTGGGGATTATTAGGAAAGATTTCATAGTAAAGTTAGGAGAATAAAACAAACTTTAAAAAGAATAAAATCTTGTCCTTTTAGTCAAATCCAAGGTATTATATTTTGATTTTTATTGATTTTTATTGGCTATTTAGACAACGTTTGGTAGGCTTTGATGAGTAAAATGTTATTTAAGAAATAAAATGTGTAATGAAATAAACATTGCTGTCAGTAAAGCAGAAAATGTACAGGTTATCAAGTGATTAAGATTTATATTTGGTTAAGAACACCTTTGATCATGCCTTTTTTCTGAGTTGGATGTTATTTAACTGAAACTGATTTATATAAGCAGTAAGGAAAATTAAAGTGTATATTCATATTTGATAGCTCCTTAATGTCAACAGATTAAAAATTCCATTTTAGAAGACCTAGAAAGTACACTTTTAAGAAATTTAAAAAATTTAAAATATGTGACTGTAAGCTTTTTTCCCACGAAGGACAAATCTGTAGGATGAAGATATATTAGATAGGCATCCATCTAACTTTAGTACAGTAATGGCAACTCTTACTAGACGGTACATTTCAATGGGGGGACCATCCTCTGGTACACAGGAGAAGCTTAATCTTTCTTTTTTTTTTTTTTTTAAGATCTGTCTCCTTGTTTCCTTTGTCTTTTTTAATTTTGCTCTTTAAATTTGATACAATTTTTTTTTTTTTTTTTTGTACTGGGGATCGAACTCAGGGCCTTGTGCTCTCGAGGCAGGTGCCGGAATCACTGAGCCCTAGAGAAGCTTAATCTTGAAGCTTTAATTCATTTTCTTTATAAGACTTGATTCATTAAAATTTTGCTTTTTAAAAGAAGTATAGTTAAGGTCATTGATCTTAGGTATCTGTACTTTTTGTATTTGATTCATTAACTCACTGTAGTTTCATTTCCATTACCGTCTTTCTCTTGAAACTTCTTTGATCACTAGTAAATGTAGTGATCAAATCCAAGGTCCCATCTTTAGCTCTTTACCATATTTCTGTAATATTTGACACTGTTGATCACCTTAGCATCTATGACTCCTCTTCTCTAGTTTTTCTGTTTACCTCCATTTCTTGGTTTAGAGCTTATTTTCCTCACTCCTTGAATGTTGTTTTTCTTAGGGTTCCTTTAGACCTTCCCTCTCCCTTTACCTTCTCTAAGACTTTGTATAGTTTTAACCACAGTATTTATTTATCAAACTTAGACTTCTGCTAAACTTGCAATCTGTTGTCTGTTGGGCATTTCTGAATATTCTGAAGCTAACCAAAATATGTAACAAAATTGTTCAGTTTAAATCTCATTCCCATAGATTATTTCTGAAATATAAAGGCACCTTTAGTGTACATTTTAAACAGGTATATGATAGTTGGTTAAAGCTGTCACTTTGAATGACTGGCCTTATTTAAGCAAGGAAAAATTAGGTAAAATAAGTCCATATTATACAGTGTAAGAGTTTAAGCTCTGAAGTTTTAATAAGATGTGTTACTTGGTTGGTGTAAATGTGATTTGTGGTAGAAATTAAGGCTGTCATTCTGTTAAACGTGAGCTCAATCCAGAGAACAGGTCAATCATTCTTTCCTGGAATTTGAACATTCACTCTAGTTTTAACACTTTATTGATGACATTTTCTCCTGCCTTCTTTTTTTTTATTAAATTTTTTCCTGGACTAGCAAGAATACATTTTTTTGTCTAACACATTTAAAATTTTTACTTTTAACAGAAATTAGCAGAGTACGGAAAGACATGTACAATGACACATTAAATGGCAGTACAGAGAAAAGGAGTGCAGAATTGCCTGATGCTGTGGGACCTATTGTTCAGTTACAAGAGAAACTTTATGTGCCTGTTAAAGAATACCCAGATGTAAGTATATTTTGTTGTTTATTCAACTTATTTTTTTCCTACTTCACATACTGTGAATAAATTTGGTGGTAAATATTTAAGCAGCATTAGCTGCCATAAAAAATCCATATAAGGAACTGGAAATGTGAATAATTTGACATGGATAGTTATTTCTTAAATGTGTTTCCATTTGATGCTGTAATGTCACTTTTGGAAATGCTTATGGTAAAAACTGTTTTGGTTTTCAAAATGAGGGCAGGAATTATGGAAAGAACTTTGGCCTGGATGTTAAAGAGCTTGCCTTTAATCTGACCTCAGAGAACCCACAGTTTGGGCCACATCATCTTTCTGTAAAATGAGAATGTTGGACTACAAGTTTCTTTCAACTAAAATTTCCATGAAAACATTTTCTAATCTAATCCCCCCATCTTAGTTCATTGCTCAACTATTCTCTATAAGCATCGTTATAAATATTCTCCTTGTCCAATACCAGCTGATTTCTAAATAAATCTGGCTCTTTGGTTTTTGTTACAAAATCCTTCATGATATGGTCCATTCTGTTTCTCTGATTTCATCTTAAATAATTGTCCCTCTTTACCATGGTACATTGTAGTCAGTCACATTGGCCTTCTTTTGGCTTTTGAAACAGGTCAAGTCTATTCCCAGCCTCAAAATCTTTTGTGTTAGCTATACCCTGATCTTTCCTGGCTGACTTCTTCTTGTCATTAAGAATTGAGCTTAAATGACACTTCAGTGAGATATCCTCTAGTCATTTTATGTAAAAGTCATTTGGTTACTCATTGTTTCACACAAGTCTCTTTTTCCTCTGCAGTAGCACTTATTATCTAGTGTTTTCGTGTTTATTTTTCTATCTCTCCCCAGAAGAACATAAGATACATAAAACAAGAACCTTGTCTTTATTATTCAATGCTGTAACCCCTATAATATTTACACATAATAGGCTTCCGGGACCCATTGAATAAATACAGTAAAAATGGTGGGCCAGGTTTTGGAGGAGTTTTCTGATCATAAATAAATGAAGGAAGGAATTGTTATGTCAGAAATGACGTGGCCGGTCTAGTGATGCATGACTGTAATCCCAGCACTCAGGAGGTTGAAGTGGGAGGGTTGCTACAAGTTTTGAGGCCAACCTGAATTTTATAGGAGAGACCCTGTCTTAAAAAAAAAGAAAAGAAAAGTGATGTGCTCTAAGATTGCTTATATGGACTAGCAGGTAAGGAAGAAATGCTATGACTATGGAAGCAAGTGAGGCTACCTACAATAACTGATATGTAACCACTATAGGCCCACCCTTGTTCTTGAAATTATTTGTATAGGTGGGAAATGGTGATTTAGGCAGCTGTCCCAGTTGGAATCTATACTGGTTTTTGAGCATCTCCTGCCCATCTGCTTAAATGTGGTAGTCATTTTCATAGACTGTGCAAGACCATGAGACCTAAATAGACTATAACCTACATCTTTCTGGTTCCATCTCTTAAAAAGAAAATCCTACTCAGGCAAAAGTATACTGTCTTATTTTTATTTTATTTTATTTTATTTTATTATTTATTTTTAGTACTGGGGATCGAACTTGGGACCTTGTGCTTGGGAAACAGGCAGCTAAATCCACTGAGCTAAATCCCTGGCCCTATATTGTCTTACTTTTTAGTCTTCTAAATCAGGATCTAAGTCCAGAGGATACCCGTCCACCCTATTCCTTTTCTTCCTTACCAGTTGCAAATCATTGCCATGGTGAGCTGTTTTTCTGACAGTGTTGGAGTGAAACATTGTTCTCAAAGTTAACATGTAAATGTTCAAGCCCTGTCCCACACTAGTTAAGTCAGAGACTATGGGTCTGAGACTCCATCAGTCTGCCCCACCCCACTCCTTTGGTGCTAGGGATTGAATTTAGGGCCTTGCACATGCTAGGCAAGTGTGCTTATCACTGAACTCTACCCTCAGCCCTAACCTGCCCTTTTATATCCTTGTGGGTGATTCTGATGTATGCTAAAGTTTGAGAATTTCTACTTTAAATTTACTTTTATTATCAAAATGAACTAGGCTAAAATTTAGGTCAGTGGTGGCAAATCTAATGGCATCTATGGTATTGTGTGTTGTTTTTCTCTTTTAAGACAAAAGATGTTAATGTTTGAATTGTCTTTTTCTAAACTAAAATCTCAGTATTTAGGTTTATTTGCAGTGTGGGCACTTTGTGTAAGTGGGTTTTAGGTTGCAGTTTGGTCACTCTTCCCTAAATGGTTCACCATCACTGATCTAGGTGATCATGTAAATTACCATTTTGCTAGGCATTGTTTCAGGAGGTATATAGAGTGGTGAATTAAATAATGTCCCGCTGTTGTGAAACAGCCTTTTCAGGGGCAGAGACAGACAATAAGCAAATGAATATATACTTTTAGGTGTTAACAGTACTGTGGAGAAACAAAGTAGTTTAAACAGATACAGAAGACACTGAAGGGGGTTGGTTGTTTAGTTTTAAGGGTTATCAGGAAAAGAATCTCTTATAAAATGGTGAGAATGGAGAGACAGGAACAGATTGATGAGAATGGCATGAAAGTTATCTGTGGGAAGAACATTCTAGGCAAAGTGAAAAGCTAGTGTAGCCACTCAGGCTTGAGCATTCTTGGGAAGGTGTGGTAAAATGTGGTAAGATGTGAGATTAGAGTTAGCAGAGGGGGGTTATCTACAGTGCCTGTGGGCCCAGTCGAAATTCTGTATATTCTGAATGAAAGGAGAAGCCATTCAAATGTTTTGAGCCTAGGTATGACATGAATTCACTGGAATTTTGATGGATCATTCTGGCTGTTGTGTAGAGAGTCTGGGACAGTGAGGAAGTGGGGAGACCAGAGAAATTAAGAAAAACTGGAATCCAGCCACATGAAATGAAATAATTCTACTACCCCAGCATTCTGGTAGCCTGAGGCAAGAGGATCACAAGTTCAAACTCAGCCTTTGAACTGTCTCAAAAGGGGAGGTGAAAATATAGCTCAGTGCAGAGGCCGGGTTTAGTCCCCAGTTGGGGCATGGAGGGGCATAAAAAGTTTAAATTTTTCAAGTTAGAACTGAGAATTTGATAATGGATATATAGGGTATGAAAAAAGAGTCAGGAATGCCTAAAGATTTTAATGAGTAAGAGCAGTGCCAATTATTTTTTTCTTCTAGTTCTTAATTCTCATCTCTGTAATGGAAATACTAAGTTTCTCACAGGGTTATGAAGACTGAATGAGTTAATATATGTAAAGCACTTGAAAAATGCTTTGACAGTATGTTAAGTACTGGAATGTAAGATCTGGAAGGGCAGGGATCTCTCCCTTTGTCCCTTTCTCCCCCTCCCTCCCTCCCTCCCTCCAGTGCTGTATTCCTAGGGTTTAGAACAGTATCTGATAAAGTGGTAAATGCATAGTAGATATTTGGTGTTCATATATTGTATGGAAAAGATACTACTAAACTTAAAAAAACTTGTATTTTGCACTTGGCCACTTACAGAAGTTAGCATTGTTGAATGTAATTGAATATAAAAATATTTAAATTTTTATTTTAAAATTTTTGTCTTACTTTTTTGCGGGAATGGGGATCCAAGCCAGAACCTTGTACATGCTAAGCAAGTATTGATTGTACCACTGAGCTACATCTCCACCATGGAGGTTGTGTTTTGGACTTGTCTGTATAAAACTCTGGGACTGATCACGAAAAAGCCATGGATTCAGAGTCTGAAGAAAGGTTATTCTACATAATGAGCTTTACAATGTTTTTGGACCATTGGCTTCAAGTTGTAGGAATGAGAAGCTATAAGAGAAGCCTATAAAAATGTACTAAAAACTTACAGAATTCATCTTCATTAACATATTAAGAAATTGGGCTTTTATTGCATTTTTCTGTTTATCAGGCACGATCTAGAAGTGAAAACATTAATGAGTTGATTAAAAAAAACCCTTTAGTCAGCATATAGATGGTGGGTTTTTCAATCTGACAGGCCTTGATTTTGGATTGTCTTATCTCCTTATTGTCTGCCACCATAATGGTCTATAATAAAATACCCTACAAATCAGTGGCTTAAAATAATAACCATTTATTTCTGTACTTATGGATCTGTGTGTTTACTGAGGTTCTATTGATAGAGGCTAAGCCTGGGTTGATCTAGGCTAGCTGTTGGTTGGTTTAGATCTTTTTTTTATTTATTCATGCTGGGCTCAGCCTGAAGGGGCAGTGGGTACTTTGGGCATGGTTTTTTTTTATAACAGATCACTAGAGTACCAAAGCCAAGCCAAATTGTATAAAATTGTGTAAGGCCTCTGCTCTTATCCATTAGCCTAATGACTCTCAACAGGGAGCTTTTTTGCCTTATGAGACAGTGACAGTATCTGAATATATTCTTTGCTGAGAAAACTTGAGGGAGAGGTATGTACTACTGGCAGGTAGTGGGTGGAGACCAGGGATGATACTAAACATCTTAAAATGCAAAGGTCAGCCTGTCACAATGAAGACTTGTCTAGCCCAAAATATCACTAGTGCTGAGGTTGAAAAACCCCACATTAGCTAATGAAGATACTTCATCTACATTGGGAAGTGGACTAGAATAAAATTCTTACTGCAAAATAATTGAAATTATCAATTGGCTTAGAGTACATGTCAGTTTTTGGTTCACCTCAAAATTGTCTGGAGAAAGAATGATAACAAATGTATGGCATCTGATAGAGAAGATACTTCAGTATGATTTTTGTGATTATGAGTAAGGAAAAAAGTCTGTTCGAAAGGAGCTCACAGTTTTATATGAAAGACAGAAGACACTGCAGTAAACCATTTAAGACTAGGTTTATCTTACACTGATAAAATGACACACATTCACGAAGATTAAAGTTACATTTACACCATCAAACTGATAATTTGTTTAAGTTTTGAAGGACTTGTTTGAATCCATGGAGATCTTACAAAGATAGATGGAATTAACTCTGATGAAAGTAAAAAGTGTTATGTTTCAAATGAATCAGTAATAATTGTGTCAG